AAATCAAACATATCACTCTCTAACTTTGCTACATAAACTGGCAAATAAGAAAGAACAACTGTGTGAGATAATGTTTTCAATTGGCTTCAACTTCACATATAATACCGAAATTGCATATTTACCCTGCAGCTTATTTTAAAACTGGCAACTATAAGGGTAGAAAAAAAAAAATTATTCTCATTAGTTCTAAAGCTTTTCATATTGCTCTTGAGAAGTCATTTTTGAAGTGAGATAGCTTTATTTCAAACTGCTGTGAATTACTTAAAATAATTGCTTAATTAGAACATTAAGATTCTCCTTAGAGACTGCTTAAGGTGCTAAAGTGGTCAAACAAAAATAATGCAGGTCAAAATACAGCAACAATGTTCCTGCAGTTTTGAACACATACATTTCTATCTTTTCATTGATTAAAACCATTTTAACACAAATTTAAATTTGAAAATTTCATCTCTCACCATAAAACAGCAGATATACATTTATTTTCAAGGCAGCTCCAATCCTTTCACAGTGTTAATACTAAAAACTTGAAATTCAAGGTGAGATTTTCAAAAGTGCAATGCATTAGCCTACTCCTGGCCCCCCAAAATGTCAGTGAAACTCCTAACGTTCATGTTGGCAGAGTCAGATTTATAATTGCGCTGATTATGTCCTAACTGCCATTACAGAACTGATTCAATCCACATTAAAACCAAGTGAGTGTCTCTAAAGTGGGCAGAAACGATACCCTGCCGCACAGCTTGAGCACAGCTTGGGAGAGGAAAGCAGAGCTCTTCCAGTTGTAGATGGAGATGAGCCCATAAGCTATGCAAGGCTTGTTCCAGAGCTGCAACACATTTTCCCTTCCAGGGTGACTCAGCTGCTCTAGAAAGTGCAGTGGTAGAGTGAGGTCAGAGATTTTAGCCTCTCCCACAACTCTTCATCCTCCTACTCCCACACTGAGCAGGAAACAGCAGCTTACTAGCAGCTGTTTTCTTCCTTCTACAAAGAGGAGCAATGTAAACAGGTCACAGTAGAATACGGAGCTTGTTCAGTGATGGCTCCATGTGGGAGCTGGATGGAGTCCTACATTACTTACCCTTTTCTCAGACAACCTATTTGTAATTATTAACTGTTAGCAAGAAGTCTGAACAATCACAACTTTCCCCATGTAACACAGAAATGCACTTTGTCTTAAGTCTTCTGTAGAAGCCCTCAAAAATGGAGACGTGTCCCAGAATTTCTTCTTTTGTTTTTCAGTAATACTGAATAACCTGTGAACTTACAGACAAGGGAGTTGTCGTGTGCCAAGGCACTTGACGTCGCAGCAAGACAGAAGCCCTGACTGAGCTGTGGTATTACTAAAAATACACAAGTACATCTTTACAAAGTGGCAAATCTTGTATTTAAGCTCATGGGAACAAGACACGCAAACTTAGGTACATCCTTAAGTACCTGACTGAAAAGAGAAGAAAAATACCTGCTAACAAAACTGAAGTATACACTTAAATATTTTGCTGAAGTGGGTTTCACAGAACATCATGTTAAATGCAACCTGATTACATATTATTATAGAAACAGATCAATCTTAAAGTTTATGAAGCATAAAACCAAAAAAGCAAAAGGAAGTCTGTTTGCCTCCAGAAAGCCTAGAATAAAAAGGCTAATATCAATTTAGTGAAACACTAGAACAAGTCAAAATTACATGGGACTAATGTGAGACACTGCTGAGATAGACCACAAATATCACCTAACTGATAACTTAACTAATAATTTACTTGACTCACAAGTTTTTCAATCCAATGTCATATAAAAATTATATGCTAAAATATATTTTACATACATAAAAATATGCACACTTTTTTACCACTGAAAAATTCTTGTTAAGTGTAAAACAAAAAAAAAAGGCAAATTAAAAAAAAACCTTGATGAAATATAAATCCTCAGGCAGCCACTCCACACTTTCATTAAATCTTATCACAAATTTACAACTATTTTTGGAAATTGTTTGCTCCACAGAAGCATAACAAACTGACACTGATGGGAGTCTTAATTTGACACCTATGCCCAAAGGACACTTAGGCCAAGGTCCTAAATTCAAACTGAACATGTATAAAACTCTTAAGAGTATATAAGATGGCTTAAACTCCTGTAGCACTCTGAATTTATCACCTTAAATTCTTAGAAATTTGAATATTCATCATTTGCACCCATGCAGAATTGCCGTAAGTCATGGCATGATTGAACAGCATCATGCTTAACTCATCCCCAAATCAAATCTAGAAGAAAATATATATACCTCTACTAAAGCTTCCTGACAGATTCTGTGAATATTCTTGAAGCATACACCTACCAAATCATACTCTCGATACAATGTAGAGGTGGATGACACTATTTTATTCTGGAGAAAACAGACAGTGCTCCCATCTCCTGTTCCCTTCTTAAACACTAATGTGTACTGAGAGCTCCCAGCCAGAAACATGAGGAATATATCTCATTATGCCTAGGAGACACAAACTCTTACTTTCCAGGAATGCTTTAATCACAAGGACAGGATTATTCCAAGTGGCAATGATCTCTATCTCCTCTTGAAATCATACATTACATTCAAAAAACCAATTCCAGATTGAGATAGAAAGCAGGAGTGAGCATGACTCATACCATAAATAGTTAAGGACACTGGGAAAGGGACTGGGCTCCCAGTCCTGTTCCAAGAATTGTTTCTACATTTTACAGGTTATCTCCTCATAGGTATAATATGTAGATCAGAAATTCTTCTGGCAGATAAAGGGCCTCTGAATTATCCCATCTTGAGCAAGAGTGTTAGCCATTAAGCTTTTACAATAAAGGGACAAGGCTCATCTCATTATCATTTCAAATAAATTGTTCTTAATGCTTTGAAAAAAGGATAGTGGACTTCCCTTCAGGAGAGGTTTTAGGGGAGGTTGAGGCACTTCTCTGCACCCACCTAGGAAGCATCTGGAGACCAGGATTTTGGACATGGTTTGTCCCAGTGTTTCCCTGTTTGCCTGCTCTTAACATTGTGCTGTGCATGCTAGCATTAAGCAGCTACTGGATCAAAACATTGTCCATTGTGGATTCCAGGCTAAGACAACCAGTGTTTTACCTGAGCTATGAAAAACTAGCAAATGGGCTTCCCTTTAAACTAGGCACCAAACATTTGTATCAGCAGCTTCAATCAGGTTTGGGTTGAAGCACTTTTCAGGCGCTTATGATTTTTCTCATAGCACACCTACACCCACCAAGCAACATTCCACATAACCACATGCTTATGATAAACAAGATTTCCAGTTGTACTGAAATTGCTACCTCTTTGGAAAAAGCTATAAAACCAGGACACATTTCACAATTCACACACTAATACAGAATGCATGTCTCTGTTCAAAACCATATGCACGTGTTACAGGAACAAAAATCTCGATACTCCAATCTTGTATTAACTGTGGGCCTCAAAGACCCCAAGCAGGCTCTCTTCCAGAAGCACATGAGAAGATAAATGTACTCCACAACACGAAACCATAAATGCTTCATAAACTAGCAGATCAGACTGAATCAGCATAAATTTATACCAGACTCTCCTGTGGAAGGAGGAGTCAGACAAACAGGAATAACAGCAGGTTTTCTGCTGGAATTGTATTTACATTCCAATTAAGATTTGCAGACAAAAACATGCTTAAAAAAAATAATCAAACGCTGAACACATTTCCAGTGCTGCTATCTCCACAAATATCAGGGACCTAGAAGACCTAAATAAGAATGACTAAAACTCCAGTGTGCTATTTTTGGCCCACAAAATGCAGGTCCGCTCCATCTGCAAAATATTACATTATCTTGTCCTATCTTTCATTTAGTGATGAAAATATGACAGAGAAGTATTACTATTCCTGTGCAACAATATCAAAATTCACAAAAAGTTCAAGAGACTAGCTTCACCAATCATACAAATAATTTGAAATATCTTTCTCAATATAATGTCAAATCATAACAAAACAGTGAAGAAAGTCTTTGCCATTGCCTAAGTTTTTGAGGAAGATATTTCAAGAACAGAGGGAAAAAAAACCACCTAACTGACAATTTAGTGCCTGGAAAACTTTGGTGCCAGAGTTGGAAGTTCATCTGCAGTCCTAAGAAGTCACATTGTATTCCCTCCAAAAAGTAACTGTCGCCTCTATAATTTAGCAATTCTATGCAAACTTAAAAAAAAAGAAATCCAGCTGGAAGAGGCAAGATGATTCAATGTCATTTTCCTTCTTGCAGTAAGAAAACGCAACAGTGCATCACTGACTTGAAAAAGAAGGAAGGGGAGGAAAAAAACAATGTTAGCTTTGCTGACTGCACTGGGTACCTGCATATTGTAACTGCTGGTGTGCAAGAGAATTACAGTTTCTGCAACTTGTTCTTAACCAAACCACAGCATATTCTTTCTACTATACTAGGCTCCTTTGGTCTTTTTTTTTTTTTTTTCCCCACAAAAAGAAAAATACTACTTGAGGAAAAATTTTGCCAACAAACTGATCCAGAGAAAACAAAAAAATAGCACTTACATGGCTTCTTGGGACATTTCTGGCATTTGTGAAAACCCCAGGAAGTACCCACGGTTCCACAGCAGTCTTCTTGCTTGGAAAGACCAGGAAGCGCTTTGCCACACTGGAAGAGTCAGGTAAAGAATACTCTGGTTAGTGATACTATACAGTGGTCACTGCTAGTACAATGTTCTTTGTCAGTCATCTTGGGGAGACACTGAAGATTCACCAGAGTTCTTAGCTGAACTGAAATAGTGCCCATGCATTGCAATGGCTCTTTACGCATGCACAAGGAAATGAGGTGATATTATCTTCCTCTGTGTCAGCTTGAAAACAGTATGTCACAGGAATGAATATTTCTAGGTAGTAACTTGCCATTGGCACCCATTCCCTACCTTCTCCTCACAAAGATGTGCTTGTCCACTTTTTCAAAAGCTGTATAAATTATTTCAAATATCTTTCTAATTACTCTCTTAAAACCAAAGAGTGTGACTGTTATTTCTGTGTTATTTTCTATTAAAAACCTTCAACTTCATGCCAAGTTATAGTTAATATTTATGACCACTTACTGAAAATTGCCAAATTATAATGACAGATTCTGCTGCTCACATACTGAAGAAGGTAACACAGATAAGATGACTGAAGCCAAAGTTAGTGAGGTCTGTTATTCCAAGCAAGTGTCTCTTTGCCCATGTAAAGTAATCTTTCAATAATTTCTGAGGTCAGTATTTCTTTTTTCCCTGATCAAGAATTTACTATGCTTTTTATTGATAAGAATACTAGTTTTTGAAGGCTTACAAGGTACTAGTTATATTCTTGGCTTTTGCAATTTGCTTCCATTTTGCATAGTAAAGAAAACAAAAGTATTTCTGAGATGCAGACATTAAAAAAACACATCTAAAGCTGTCAATTAGATGTAAAATAGAAGTGCACAAAGGACAAAAAAGTTCACAATAGCTGCATTCAGTAACCCTTCCAAAGCAAATGCTGATATAAAGAATCACAGAATCCTTTAGGTTG